ATCATCATCATCATCACCATCATCATCATCATCATCATTCTCGTCATCATCATCATCATCATCAGCAGCAGCAGTAGGACAAGAAGGAAAAAGGGAAAAAATAGGAGAAATAGGAGTGACAATGATATCCGGAAATGATAACGGTGACATAGAAAAGGATCAATTAGTTAATGTGGAACAAATGAAAGGGAAAGGCATTCGAAAGGTAACATTTGTTTAAATGACAGGTCAAACAGTTTTTTTTTTCTCTCAAAGAAAAATTTCTTTTTAAAATTGTTGAAATATCAATCTTGTTGTAAATTTGACCTTTTTTGAAGTTTAATTTGAAGAAAATTTGATCGTTTTTTTTTTTTACAAAGATTTGCAAAAATTTTTTTCATTCTTTTTAACGAAAAATTTTTGATATTATTTTAAATTCTTTTCTGTATTAGTAAACCTTATTTGGTCTATAATTTTGTGCTTTTTTTTGTTTGTTTTTTTTTTTCAGGTTGAAGGAGTAGCAAAATTAATCGATTCAAAATTTCATGAAATGAACAAAACGAGAAATACTGCTACTACTGTTACAACAATATCTACGACAACAGCAGCAGTTGATGATGGTAGCAATCTTTTGGGAAGTTTATTAAGCGGTCGTCTTGATAACGTGGATTGGTTTGGGTCACTTTTTCGTCCTCAATTACCAACTAAAGAGGAAGGCAGTGCTATGGCACAAATTTTTCAAGGTGGTATATTTGGTCCAGCTAGTTAATTTTTTGGTTTTTTTGAAAAAACTTTTTTTTGTTTTCATTTCTTGAATTAAAAAAATTTTGTTGAAAAAATGGTTTAGATGTAATTTTGGAAGATTTGATATATAAATTATTGGAAAAATGAATGGTTTGGAATTTTATACAAATTTTTTATGTGCAAATTCATAAAATAATCAAATTCAAGAATTTAAAATTTTTTAGGATTGAATTTCACGTTTAAATTATTGCTATCGCATGTAAAAAAGAAAAAAAAAAGGCGAATGGAAAACTTTCAAATTTTTTTTACAAGTTAATAACGCAAATAATTTTAAATTTTATTTGTAAATGTGATTCAGTTTTTAAAATTTTAACAACTCCTTGTGCATATTTGTTTAGATAACAAGAATTTTTTTTTTCTTTTAAATTGTAAGAAAAAAAGGAGAGAAATAAAAATTCAATTTGATCATTTTCACCAATTTCAAGAATTATTTGCTTTGCACATGTACGCAATAACATATTTAAATATTTGACTTTTTCAACTAGCCTATATAATATGCAAATTTGAATGAAATTTGAAGAAATCAAATGAAAAAGAAAAAGCAAATGAATAGCTTATGAAGGTTTTGATACCGGATAACGTGAATAATTCAACCAATATGCACAGTTGAATAACAAAAATAGCGCTGGAAAGATAAGTCCTGAAAAAAAAATTATCAGAAGAAAAAAGAAAAGGTAAAAAGAAGGATAAATAAATCAATATTTTGTTGGTTTGTTAGTAAATAGCGAAATATTTGCTTGTTTTTTTTTTTTCGTATATTCTTATTATTAATTTAATCTATTATATTATCGCTCAATTTTTGTGATTAAATTAAATAAATTTCTTTAAAATTTAATAACAAATGATTGACCAAGTCAATAAAATCATTGGCTTCTAAATTTGAATTTAAATTAGCTTTTTTTTTATATTTCGAAAAAATATTGCCAATTTGATCAAGTCTTAAATTAACATTGTTATTACTGTACAACCACAGTTGCTG